TCGCATCTCTGATCCAACAGATATGAACTCTATCTTTCTACTTTGTCATATCCTATTTATGTGTCCTTCAACGTGGGGTTATAATATTCATCTATGACTCTAACAAATAATTGTTGTTCTTCTGCATGTACTTGAGATTGAAGATTTGTTGCCTTTATTCGAAGTATTCTTTGACCATCCTATACCAAAAGAAGACAATAGAAATATGACATGTAGGTAAGAACGAACAGGGCACTATGTTTTAGACATGATATATTAACTTCTCCATCTTTGTCAACTGCATGGCGCTACTTTTACAGGGCACTATGTTTTAGACATGATATATTAACTTCTCCATCTTTGTCAACTGCATGGCGCTACTTTTATCAATGTGAATGCCTCCGCTTTCCTTTTGATCCCCATGCAAAAATTTCCGTGTATTAGGTATGCATCTTCTGCATGAAGGTGAGCGAGGGACCCACAAATCTACCCTCCACTTTCTATAAATACCCGCCCTAACAGTTTCCGTATCTCCCCAGGTCTTACCTTGATTTCACTTATCAATTAAGAGTGAGATTACTAAGCAAAAATGGCTTCTTCATCCTTCAAGTCCTTGGCTCCTATTGCGCTAGTGTTCTTTATCTTGTTAGGGACCTCCTCAGCCCAACTCACTCCCAATTTCTACTCATCTTCATGCCCTAAACTATTCCCGACGATCAAATCAGTGGTCCAGTCCGCTATATCAAGTGAGAAGAGGATGGGGGCTTCTCTTCTTCGCCTCTTCTTCCATGACTGCTTTGTTAATGTACGCTAGTGATTACTCATTCTTTTCATTCATATTTCATTATTGTCACTTATTAGCACCTAGCTAAGACCTCTAATGTTTAGATATAATCATCTCCCCCATCACCACTTGTAAAAATCCTAGATCCGCCACTGATCAAGAGGTCTAAATGGTAATGGAATTCTTTGAAGCTAAAAAATGATTAACACTCTATAAAACATGAGGTTTATTTACAATTAATCCATAATATTGTAATAAAACATATTACACATTATGTCAATGTTGAAAAATATTTTACATGCATTCTTGATATTTTCTAGGGTTGTGATGGCTCGTTGCTCTTAGATGATACCTCTAGCTTCACCGGAGAGAAGAATGCAAACCCTAACAAGGGTTCAGTTAGAGGGTTCGATGTGATCGACAAGATCAAGACTGCAGTGGAGCAAGCATGTCCTGGCGTAGTCTCGTGTGCTGATATATTGGCCGTGACTGCAAGAGACTCAGTTGTCTTAGTAAGTTATTTTACGCTATATATATAAGAATGAGAAACAATAATGTTGGCTATTTAAATTTTTATGTAGATATGTTGTAATGTTTTTTTTTATTAGCTTGGAGGGCCTACATGGAATGTGAAATTGGGGAGAAGGGATTCAAGGACGGCAAGTCAAAGTGGAGCTAATAATAACATTCCTCCTCCAACTTCTAGTCTTAGTAACCTCATCTCTAAGTTTTCTGCTCAAGGTCTCTCAGCTAAAGAAATGGTTGCCCTTGTCGGTATGCAATCCTTTGCCTATATTCCTCACATATCAATCTATGTTTTTTCAAGTAACACATCAATGCAATGTTTAGTTATAACTTTTTCTCTCTCCTATTAGTTTTCTAATGTTTTAACTTCGCAAGAATATTCAAGATTTGTAGACCTTGGCCAATGATATCACGTTAAATACTATTGGGTCCGGTTGAATCAGTATTTACATAATATCGGTCCAAGTTCTAGAATTCAGAGACCCAAATTAAGTTTGCATCCGATTAAATCCCCAACTGTGAGTAGATTTGACAATAGTGTCCCCTGTTTCAAAGAGGGTCCATTAATAACTAATCGAAGTCTCCTTTTTTCGGTCAGCTAAAGACTTTTCTTTTATCATATTATGGCTCAACCTAATAGTAGCTTGATCTCACGGAGCCTAATCAATGGCTAGCTTGATTCTCTTTCACGTGTCTTATTGACTTATTTGGGTAAATTTCACAAAAACCCCCAATACTTTGGGGTGTCTCCCACGAGAATCCCCATTGTTTTTTTCTCACTGAACTCTAAGGACGCGTTTGGACCCAAAAAAATTTTGGGTTTTTTGGGTGAAAGCCTGACACTTTGTCAGGCTTTCACCCAAAAAACACCCCAAAAAATCGTTCCAAACGCGCCCTAAAAGCTTTTCTGACATAACCCCGGAAGTGACGCTTTCACCCAAAAAACACCCAAAAAAATGGTTCCAAACGCGCCCTAAAAGCTTTTCTGACATAACCCCGAAAGTGACGAAAATGCCCCTCAGATCAAAAGAACTCTCTCTCTCTCTCTCTCTCTCTCTCTCTTCCCGCTCCCCCTAATTTCAATACTCGTGCAAATTGCCTAATGTGAGTTTTTTATAGTAAAAATATTAATTAAAAAGGACAGAAAGGGAACTAGGACGGGCATGAACATATTTGAAATTTGCATTCTGTTATCATGTTTATCTTAATTTCTACTTTCTGTATATTCCGTATCTCATTTTTCTACTGACCAAACATTCTTACCAAATATTTTCCCCTCAACGTAAGGTGCACACACCATAGGCCAAGCCAGATGCACAAACTTCCGCGCCCACGTCTACAACGACACCGACATCGACGCCACCTTCGCCAAAACCCGCCAATCCAACTGCCCGTCCACCTCCGGCTCCGGGGACAACAACCTCGCCCCCCTGGACCTCCAGACTCCCGTCGCCTTCGACAACAACTACTTCAAGAACCTCGTCAGCAAAAAAGGCCTCCTCCATTCGGACCAACAAGTTTTCAGCGGAGGCTCGACCAACTCCCAAGTTTCAACTTACAGTACGAGTCCGAGCACTTGGAGCTCGGATTTCGTTGCGGCGATGATTAAGATGGGAGATATTAGCCCTCTTACGGGGAAAAGCGGAGAGATTAGGAAGAATTGCAGGAAGACTAATTAAATGGCTTAGCTTAATTGTCAAAATAAGTGATTCCTGATCAAATTATGTGATTGGTTTTTATTTAGATGGTTGTGACGCTGTTCTTGTCTACCATAAGGGTGGGGATTCTCGAATTAATGTTGTAGCGGTTTGTGTTTGGATTATGTATACTAGCTTGTGTTTCTGAGTTGAGAACTAATGAAGAGTGATTTGGTGTAGTTTAAAATTTGAAGTTAGTATACATGGATTGATATTTCACGTATGTGATATGCCCAAAAGTGTAAGGGCACACTCTTCAAATATCAAATGGGCAAAGTTAGAAATTACCCAAAAAACAATAATTTTATCCAAAATGCGAGAAAGGGCAACGTTCAGAGACAACCCCACAATTTAATGTGGGGCTTACAAGTTAGATGATGAAACCCGTATTATTCTTCGATAGATTATAGTGACAAAAGATACTTCGCATAAATATTAGCAAAAAACGTGAGCTCAGATGTGTAGATCTCGTCCGAAGATCAGACATACGTGATGGAGCCACTCTATCACTATTTACACAAGAAATCCTCACTGCTCGACATGTGTCGTCGCGACACGCTACTTTAACAGTATTAATATGTTGTTTGTTTCCGATGTGGGACTATTCCAGTGCCGAACCCGCTACTTAACATGCTGCTGGGATGATATTCGGGGGATCTATCCTTATTTTTTAAGTAACTTTCTGCCTTTTATTGCTAATATTTGTTTTTAGGTAAAAAAAATAAAATCCGTCCTTTATTTCAAACGGTGGACTACTACTTGATATCACGTGTCTTAATTGATCCCTGTTTTCCTAGTCAAATTTCATATAAGCTAATTTTAAATTCTGCTGTTATTTAACCATGAACTTCAATGTAAAATTCAGGGTTTTGTCTTAAAACCACCTTATATTTAGAGTTATTTTACACAAAGCACTTTATATTTCTAATTTATACCTAAACCATCTATAAAGCTAGTTCTCATTTCAACAACCACATGATCTCATTTTGCTGCTAAAATTTCTCTGAAATCCTAACAATGTCTTCACCTATTTTCACGTGTATCCAACCACATCAATGTCTAAAAGTTGAGGGCATTATTGGAATCTAAGAGAAATTTTAGAAAGAACGTGGGATCGGGTTGTTTATGGGAAACGAAAACTAATTTTGTAGGTGGTTTATGTATAAATTAGAAATATAAGATAGCTAGCGTAAATAACTCTATTCAGGTGGTTTCCAAAGGGAAAGAATGGACCCTCAAATTCATGCTTCAAAGTGTTTTTTTAGTGCTTTTCTTTTTCGTGCGTTTACTGTCAAACTAATCGGGAAGAGATCGTGGGCTGCGAAGTTCGCTTTAACTGGGCCTCTTGTTCTGGATCCCTTTCAAGCCCAAAGTGTTCAAATTAAACGTTTTTTAGAGCCACGCTCGATTGCTAAATACCTCCTTTTTTTTTCTTTTTTCTGTTTTCTCCTTAATCGTAGATGGTACTAAAACTCGATTGCTAAATACCTCCTTTTTTTTTCTTTTTTCTGTTTTCTCCTTAATCGTAGATGGTACTAAAACTTCTTAGAGCATCTCCAACAGCTTCTCCAAAATTTTCTTCAAAATAGGAAAGCAAAAGTTATATTCTCCAACTAATTTTTACACCAACTCCAATAGCTTCCCCATTTTGAAGAATCTATTTTTTCTTCCAAAAATTTGGAGAATGCTGCAGATTTGGGGAAGCTTCCCCATTTTTTCTCCTCCATCTCTATTTTGGGGAATGAGATGGGGAATCTGTTGGGCCAAAAACCTAACTAAATTCTCCAAAATTGAGAAATGGGGAAGCTGTTGGAGATGCTCCTTAATGTTTCCCTCCTTGAGTAACATTATTCTGGCTGAATACTGCTAGGTCTAACTTGAGGTTCTATAACATATATATTTTGCCACGAGAAGCACACTTAAAATAGACCTCTCATAAATCATACTTTTGAGTTAGACTTGAGCTTAGAAATTTCAATAACTCAATGACTATATAAATTTTATATTTGCACAAAAGGAAAAAAAAAATCTTAAATTCTCATGTTTTACCCTAATCCAAAAGTAGGCATATGTCCCATGCAATTACACCAAGGACCAAAAATAAACAAATTCTCCATGCAATTACAAGCAACTAACCAAACACGTAACATTAATTAATCTCCCACTAACCAAGAAATTAAAACGCCCCATCATTTTTTTTTTGTCTAATTAACTAACTTGTCAACCTGCAATTCTCTCTAATCACTCCATCCTCACCCATCAAGGGACTCAAATTCCCCATCCTAATCATAGCGTCACCAAAATCACCCCAAAACTCATCAACATTTTCACTATAGAATTGCACCAAATCCTCCACGTCCCCTCCGTCACCCTTGAACAGCTCCTGGTCAGCATGCAGCAGCCGCGGTGGTGGAGTCTCGGCGGCCGAGGAGGACTTGGTAGTATGGTCCTCCTAGCTGCATGCATTATTTGTGTTAGTTTAAAATCTTCGAATTTGAGTTGAAAATTAATCTGTTTTGTTTTTTAATTTGAACCTGAATGTGAAATTATCTTTGAATTATATCCTTCAAGGTAGCTAGACTCGATTTATTTGATTTATTAATGTAAATTGAATAATATGAATTTTTTTATTAAATGTCTAACTTATTGAATTATTACTTGACAATGATGATGTAAATTAATAAATAAAATCTGACTCAAATTAAGTTAGAGAATAATGCATTGAGATAAAAGAGAAAAATGGTTAAACATTGAGAAAGACATCAGGAAGACGAAATATTAGTAACATAAGTGGGTGAATAAAAACTTGATAATTTAATGAATAAGATATGCGAGTATTCATGCTTAATTAATTAATTTTACTAGTATCAGAGAACACCGCCAATTCTCCTAGATCATCTTTCAAATCTGAACAAACCACAGACACGTACGAAACTATTTTATAAATATTCTTTCTATTTCCAACCTAGTCATTATACTCAGTCATTATACCGAATTAATTAGTTACATCTGATTAATTAATTATTATTACGATTAGGCTAAAGCATAGCGACTCACGGCAAAAACAGAGTCCCGAGCAGCAACGGCTACAATATCAGCACAAGAAACCACGTTCCCCAAGCAAAATGTATTAACCTCCATTTTGATTTGATCGATCACATCATAACCCCTAACAGAGTTATTATTGGGGCCCGCAGTCTTCTCTCCCGTGAAAGTCGGAGTGTCGTCCAACAGAATCGATCCATCACAGCCCTGCAAACATATATCACATAAATAACTGTTACGATGCAAGCAAATTAACTAAAAAGTACACTCAAGATGAAAATTTCCGTCAGAAATACGATTTTCATAGACCAAGGATGAACAATCTCACATTTACAAAGCAATCATGAAAATGTAGCCTCAACAAGGATGCTCCCATCCTTGGCTCAGCGGCGATTGCTTCCTCGACGATCTCCTTGATAACGTCCCATGCATAGGGCTTGGTCTATCTCCGATTAGTATGTTACCAACCTCTAATTTTTTAATAAACCTAATTTTGCCGTGTATTTGATTTTGAGAAGAAAGATCTAGTGTAATGATGTTTGGTTACAGTCCAAGTGATGTAATTAAGTTGTCTAATTGAGGATTAGCTCAAATAAAGATGGGTCCATTACGTGATAAAAAAAATACTACGTGTGGTAAATGGGTTGGACAATAGTGAGAAGGTGCATTCGAAGCTTCTTGCCATGATTTGTTAGATTAATTGAGTAACTTGAAACTTAATTCTCTCGTTAAAGTATCTTTAGCCTAGTGCAAATGGTGGAAGCCAGTCCTCCAATGCTTCGTTGATAAGATTGATTCACATCTATTTAATTCGAAAATGATCAGGTTTGATCTAAAAGAGACATAAGATGAGATTGAGTCCAATATTATTATATGAATAATTAGCTAAATAGCCTTTAGCTCATTATTCAGTTAATTTTTTTGAGGAGTTTTGATCTTAATAGATTGTCTAGTCCGTACAACTCAATTTATCCATATCAGAACTAATAGTTCGATGAATTTGTTTAGATGCTTTGTTTGCTTCGAGACTTCATTAGCACATGTCGCCACATTTGGACACACCATGACTCAAGTTTGACTATGTTCTTCTCCAAGACATTATCTCTATTAGACGTATATATGCAATGGACTCGACTTGATTGAATCTGAGCCAAGATGGAGATTAGTTAGGATTGCATTGCTCAGTTCGATCATGTATTAGTTTGGAAAGTAAAATGAGAATTAGTCCCGTATGGAAGGAATAGTTAAGGGGCTGTTTGGTTCGCTATTATAAGGGGTGGAAAACTCAGAAAACCCCTCCACGTCAGATTTTTAGCCCTCTACGTCAACTTTTTTGTTTCCGTCCATTTCTTTGTGCCGCTTTGGTTCGCTCGAATGGAAGAGGGAAAACTCTGCTGAAATCGCCGCCAACTAAGATTTTTTTTCCCTATCCGATTTCCTTCCCCAACCAAGTGAAATTGATAAAAACTCTGCCACGTCAGATTTTTTTTCTTCTCTGCTTTTTTTTACAAAAGTTTTCCTTTTTTTCTGTGCGAACCAAACACAAGAAAAATAAATACATTGGTTTCCCACCATTTTTTATGTGCGAACCAAAGCAAAACAATCTATTTCTTGGAAAAGTTTGAAAAACTCAAAACTTGTGTTTCTTTACATGGAATTGCATTTCTCTGTATCAAGGAAACGAACCAAACAGCCCCTAATTGAACACATATTTAACTTTGAAAAGTCATAACTCAACAAAAAGGATTAATCTTTTTAAATTAATTTGAAGTGAAGTAAAAATAGTTAGTTGAGAAATTCTTAGATGTTCCATGAGCATACACCACACCACTAGGAGGAGGATGTGCAGCACGTACAAGAAAAGAAATTCTTAGATGTTCCATGAGCATACACCACACCACTAGGAGGAGGATGTGCAGCACGTACAAGAAAAAAATATTTAATTCTATCATATTCTTATTTACAAGTGATTTGTGTTACTTAGCATTTTTCTATTGGTATGATATAATGCTCATAAAGCAAAAGCATACAAGAATTTTTCCCATTAAAGAGCCTTTGCAAACACAACACTAGTTTCCAACGGGCAATCTAAAAGATATTATAGAATTACCTAGGAATCTTATTAGTCTGCATAGTGTGACAATTCAGACTGATTTTCCTCGATGGTCTCTCTCTTCAAGTGATTCTTTCACTGTTAAATCATTCTATGACTTCTTATGTTCTAGAGGTATCAAATATGCTTTCTACAAATTAGCATGGAATCCTATTTTGCCTAGCAAAATTCAAATGTTCACTTGGCTTCTTTCCCAGAACCGATTACATACTAAAGATAATCTTATGAAAAAAGGGTGGCAAGGAGATCCTAATTGTGTTTTATGTGGCATTCAGTCTGAAACAAAGAACCATATCTTCTTCCAATGCACAACAGCTAAAGTAGTCTGGCAACACTTTAGAGATTATTATTTACCTTTTTGTTGGCCATCATCTATAGATGATCTTAGGGGTGTCCAAAAAGCCCGGAGCCCGGACCCGGCCCGGTGTCCGGCCCGGGCCCGGCCCGGTCGTGCCCGGGCGCGGCCCGCCGGGCCGCGGAAACCCGGAAAACCGGGGTCGGCGGGCCCGCGCCCGGTCGCCGTTGCCGAACCGTGTCGCGGGCCGGTCGGCCGTTGGCGAACCTGTCCGGGCCCGGCCGGCCCGGAACAGTTCGGCCCAAATGGCAGCTGGTTCTTCGAACTGGCGCGGGCCGGGCCGACCGCGCGGCGCCGGCCATAACGGTCACAAAGGTGACCGTTGCCCAGCCCGGCCCGGGCCAAATCTGGCCTAACGGCCAGATTTGGTCTTTTGACCGTTTTGCCCCTTAAAACGGTCAAAAAACGGCTATTTTTCGAGGGTTTTTTGGTCATTTACCTAGGGGGCTGCTTCTATAAATAGAGGGGGGGTTTCAATTCATTTTCTCACAACAAAACTCATCTATTTCTCTCTCTACTACTCTCTTATACAATCTTATACTATCTCATACTAATATACTATCCTATAATCTTTTGTATTTTCTAATACTTCCAACAAATGGCTTCTGGGTCTGATTATGAAGAGCAACATGCAACTCCTACCGATCCAGAGATGAGTCCTCCTACAACAACTCCTCATCCTACCGGTGTTAATCCTGAATCTGGTGGCGACGAATCTACGGCACCAAGAGCTCCAAAAAGGCCGAGGTCTGATGTATGGAATTTTTTTGAGAAGATAGACGTCACCAAGGATGAACACGGTAGGATCATCTCTCAGAATGCGAAATGTGCGTTGTGCGGCCAGATATTCAAAGCTCATCATAAGAGCGGCACCAACCATCTCAAACGGCATATTGAAAAACACAACAAAGGCCAAAATCTACAAGGTGATATCCGGCAGTCTATGCTTTCCCAATCATCCTCTTCAGGTACCCTCGGCAGTTGGAATTATGACGCTGCCCGAGCCCGGAAATGCGTAATCAGGTTTATTGTTCTTAAAAACCTTCCTTTTAAATTAGTAGAAGATGATGAATTTGAAGATTTATTTAGAGATGGTTTTTATCCTGCATTTACAAAATTTTCTCGTCAAACCTGTCAACGTGATATTTTAAAATATTATGTTGAGGAACAGGGAAAAATAATTTCTTATTTTAAAAATTTAAACTGCAAATTTTCTTTAACTTCTGATATTTGGTCATCTAGAGTGCAAACTGGTTATTTATGTATAACAGCACACTGGATTGATGAAAGTTGGAAAATGTTTAAAAGAGTTGTTTCTTTTATTGCAATTGAAGAGTCACACACTGGTATTAATGTTGCAAATTTAATTGTTGAAGAACTTATGAAACTAGAAATTGATCAAAGAATATTTACTCTTTCACTAGATAATGCAAGTAATAATAATGTAGCTGTTGATTTTCTGAAAATAACTTTGTCATTGCCATGTCATGGTGAGCTTTTTCATGTTAGATGTATCTGTCATATTTTAAATTTAATTGTTCAAAGTGCATTTTCTGAAATTAAACCCATGATAGAAAAAGTTAGAACAGTTACTAATATGCATAATGCTTCTGAAATGAGAATTAAAAGATGGAAACAATGTTGTAAAAGAAAAAATTATAAGCCTAGACTAATTCCAAAAGATGTTGACCATAGGTGGAATTCCACCTATGCAATGTTATCTGTAGCAATAGAATATAAAGAAATTATAAATGATTTTATAAATTTTTATGCTTCTAGTTCTAGCTCTGGTAGTGCTTATGGAATAACTGAAGATGAATGGACAGTTATATGTAAATTAAATGAGATGTTACAAGTTTTTTATGATGCTACTATGTTATTATCTGGTTGTTATTATCCAACTATTACTTTAGCTGCTTTACAAATTTTAAATATTCAAAAAAATTTTACAAAATATCGTATGGATGATATTTTTGGAAGTATAATTTTTGAAATGGAGAGTAAATTTAATAAGTATTTTAGGCCTATTCCTCATATTTTTGGTATTGGTGTTCTTATTGATCCATGCTTGAAGGAAATTGGCCTTCGAAGTTTGTTACAATCATTGTATGGTGGACAGATTATAGACTTAGATGATGGATCCACCCTTACTGCTACTACTCATTATTTAGCTATTAGAAATTATTTTCAAACCTTATATGATGAGTATGCAGCTAGATATGGTGTAGCTACACAACAGTCTTCAGCTTCGGCACCTTCAGCTTCGAGCACAGGTCGAGGTAAAAGTGTAAGTTTTGATAGGTATGCAATGGTAGCTGAACTAACTGGTGGATCTGGAACTTCATCAGGATTAGATGTTTCTGAAATAGATGAATATTTTTCTGCTTCTTTAGTTAGATGTCAAGGAAATGCTTTAGATATTTTGCAATGGTGGAAAGTATATGGATCAGTTTCATATCCTATACTTTCCACCATGGTTCGTGACTTACTATCAGTGCAGGTTTCGACTGTAGCCTCGGAATCCGCTTTCAGCACAGCAGGACGTTTGATCGACGACCACAGGACATGCTTAGATCCGTATACTGTACAAGCGGTGATGTGCTTACAGGATTGGTGGAGATACGAGAAGCGAACACAAGGCATCGAACGGATTGCTATGATTGAAGATAAATTTGAAGAGTTGGGACTAGCAGATAGATATAATGATTAGATAATATTCATAAAATTGTAATTTTTATTTCTTAGCTTTAAATTTGAATTAAATTATTTCGAAAAAAGTTGCAAATGATAGTGATATGGGTGAGTAGGTGCCAACCTAGTTGGGATGTACTCATCTATTGTGATGCGACGAATTTCGAAATAAATTTATACTTGTAAAGGATTTACCGATTATTAATAAAGAAGTTATTTTTATCATTTTTTGTACTTGTAATTTATGTCATTTCATTTCAAGTTATTAATAAAATTTATGACATTTTTTATAATAATTTATAATTTATGGTTTTGTTAAAATTTAAAAAAATAAAAAAAAACAAAATTAAAAAAAAAAATCAAACCGGGCCGGCCCGGTGTCCGGCCCGCTCAGGCCCGGGCCCGGGCCCGGACCCGGCCCGGACCACCCGGGCCCGGGTCCGGGCTTGGGTTTTGCCCGGCCCGGGCCCGGTTTTCCGGGCCGGGCCGGGCCGGCCCGGCCCGGATGGACAGCCCTATATGGTTAGATACTCATATTCTACCGAACAAGCTAGCCATTTATCCACTGGTTGGCAACGTGTATTGCACGTGTCCGATTAGTCTATTATTAAAGTGTTCGTATCTGTACTCATCTAAATCCTTCAAAACCGAAACCAAATCCGAATTCTCTTTCCCAAATTCCAATTTGAATGCGAATTTTCTTCTATTATTCATTGAATACTCAAGCATATCTTTTGGTCTATTATTCCATTGTTTACGAAAACAAAATTATTAATGATTAAACCGATTCTGATATTAGCGGAAAGAATTTGATTCTTTCCATGATATTTTAATATGTATGTGGAGAATATTCCTTCACCGCGAAGAATAATAAAATCATAATTTGGATGCTTGATTAAAATTTTTTACTACAGAATCGTAGCAGCATAAGCTATCTATTTTTTAAATCTAATATCAGATGCTTTAATTCATGAATTTATTACGTTATCCTTATCTTATAGCTTGTGTTATGATTTCCACAGTACTAAAGTTAGTTAATTTTTGTTCCCTTTATTGAATAAATAATAATTCAGTTTCTTAATCTAGATTTAGGTATGAGATTAACATAAGGGACGAGTACATATCCATTTCTCTTTATGGGCAACAAACATAATCTCATATGATTTCTCTCACGTAGCCAACCCACAAACCGAATGATATATACAAGCTAGTAGTTCGTTCTTTTAATTAAAATCTTTTTCTGCTGAAGTCCCCCATAATTATAAACTTATGTTATGTATCAAAATTAATGTCTCTTAAACTAATTCATTTAATATGAACTTTGCTTCATAACCTACATACATTAATAAATAACAAATCACTACAACAATAATCGTTATTTTTTTTAGGGTAGAACAATAATCATTATTAGCAATTAATAGTGTATATGTTGATATATAATTGCATATGAGGCCGTATATGCAAATATGTAATCTAGATTGAGATATAAATACACATGAGGGCTCCGATCTAGAGTTCGCCAACTCTCTTATATCAAAATATATTCTCTTCTTTCTCTTATACTACTATAGTGCACGTGCTTTGCACGAGAGCATCCCTGTTTTATTTTATGCTTTTCAATTTTTTTGTTGGCTAAAAAAATAAAATGACTTATATAGCAATATAAATTTTGAACAATTATAATTTTATTTAAATGAATAAAGTGTAAAACCGTATATAAATAACTGTATGATCAATTATAGTTTGGATAATTATTATAATTTATTCATAATTTATTAAAATAATTATAATATATAAAATAGTTTTTTATTTTTAAATAAATAATATTATACTTGGAATAATTATAATACTATTAGTAACTATATTTTAATGTAATAATTAGTTTATTATACTATAAGTAAATAATTTGTATAATTATTAAATTACAGTGTAATTTATTAATTAAAAAATACTATTAAAATTATTATACTATTAATACTATTAAAATTACAATAAATAAAAATTGTTTTTCATACTATTATCATATTTTGAAAGGCTAATAAGATATAAGGTAATAGGTAGTCCTCCATAAGAGGTGAAACCCAAAGTTATAGGCATAAGCCTAATCAATTTTTGTTATTTTTAATTTTTATAGAATTTAAAATTTTATGCGAAGATAAATTAGGGATAAATTTCAAATTTTCTATTAAATAACATAATTAAATAATAAAATACTAGTGTGACCAAAGGTTTTAAAAAAGTAAGGAAATGTATAATTAATAAGAGGTTATATATAATTAGTGAATGATTAATTACAATTAATTATATATTTGAGAATTATCAA